CCATATGCATATCCATATCACATCCATGCCCATGTCTCTGTCTTTCATGTACTTATACCCAGATGCGTGTACAGTCACAAAGGTCAGGCTGGTAACCACTTCTTGCATAGGCAAATGCATACTCGTTCACATGACTTTGTAAGAGTGGACCTAAGATGTCATCCTCCAAGTCCATATCCCATGTAAGTCGGCCCCAGATTGTGCCTTCATTAATTTTTGCATCTAGTGATGCTCAGTTTGAGGGGCCTAAGCAACGTCCAGAGCTGGAGGTCGGTTGGCGAATATGCACATAAAGTGAACTCGCTTTTGTTTCTGAAAGGGAGGGTGTTGTGAAGGGCTAGGGCTGAGGCTCACAGGTTGTTACCCCTTGGTTTAGAGAGGGAGAAATATTTCAAAGGCGGGGATCCTGGCCACGCGGGGTGTTTGTGATGTGGAGAACTGTTTTCTGTTGTCTGCTGTCAGCTTGGCTGAGTCAAAGCAAAGGACTAAAGAAGTCTGCTGCAGCTGCGGAGTGAAGTGTGGGCCAGAGCTGCTGTGGGGGCCCAGCCCAACAGCTCCGGGCATGTCTGCTCCCACCCCATCCCGGGTTGCCTGCCTCTGTCTGCATATGCCCTGGGTAACACGGACAAGGCTCCCTCGGGCTCCCTGCTCAGGCATACAGAGTATGAAGGGCCACGGAGGTGAGGTGTGGCAAGAGGCCACTAGGCTGAGACTCCCGTGGAGGATCCCAAGGTCACCAGTCAGTGCAGGGGGATCGGGGGTGACGCCCACACCACCAGGCAGGTTTAAACAGGACATATAAACGAGGTATTGGAGCAGCTCACACCATGCAGGCAGCTCCGTCCCACTAGAGGCCATGGTCCTGGCTTCGACAGTGTCCAGAACCCCTGGGCTGGGTCTGGTCCCGCCATGCTCTTTGATAAATTGTGTCTACCACCTTCACTGGATGGCAGTTCTTGGGGCTGACCCGTGGTGCCTGCATGAAGCAGACGGGCTGGGTGTGGGGCTGACCCGTGCTGCCCACTTGCAGAGCAGATGTGCCAGAGTGTTTAAGGAGCTCGGGGGACATTTTTCAGAGAGTAGAGCTGGCCCCCGCTTGGCCACATTTCTGGCCCTGGCTGAAATTCCAGTGCAAGGGAATGCGTGTCCCAGAAAGGTGCTGATATAATCCCAGCCTTACTTTTTTTCAAGATCGCTAACACTAAAAACATCAAACTAAGAGAATAAGGAACCCTGGTGGCACAGTGGTTAAGCGCTCAGCTGCTAACTGAAAGGTCGGCGATTAGAACCCACCAGCTGCTCTGCAGGAGAAAGATGTGGCAACCTGTTTCTGTAAAGATTACAGCCTTGGAATCCTTGTGGGGCAGTTCTACTGTGTCCTATAGGGTTGCTATGAGTTGGAATCGACTTGATGGCAACAGGCAACTTAGAGCTTAGCCTCTGCCTCCTGGACAGCCAGCATTTTACGCAACCGTGTTTGGATGGGGAAGTTTAGTATCCACCAGGTTGCAGCGGGCCCGTCTGGGCCGTTGCTGCCCATTGAAGGCGAGGGCCTAGCGCGGAAGAGAGGTTGGCTGGTGCTGCCTGGCGGGCGAGCCTTCTCAGTTCTGGCTTCAGTTCAGCACTTGCCATTTTTGGGTTTGCAGTGTGCCTGAGATGGCCAAGCTCTGGTCGGTGGGGCGTCTCCTAAAGGCCAGCATCCTTGGCAGAGCCAGGAGGGCTGCTCCCCTGGATAAAATCTGCCCTGTGTACCCTGAATACTGAGAATCTGAGCACCAGAAGCACCTTGTAGTTAATCCCAGAGCCCTGGTATGGTGAGACACTGTCTCCTTCAGCCTGTAGCCCCTAAAAAGGTGTTGGCACCAACAGCCAACTTCACAGATTTGCATTTGTGATATAAAACAAGTTGGGTCACAGCTCTGTTTTCCATTAAACGAGAGGACCAGGGGTGGATTATCTAATAGGCAAGGTAAGCACAGTGCTTACCTTGCTTACCAGATCATCTGTAGTGAAATTGTTCACTACAGACTAGTAAATATGCACAAATAAGCCCATGCTTGCCTCGCTTACTAGGTCCCATCCACCCCTGTAGGGATTGTAAATTTGAAGAGATTTTGATTCTGTAGGAAGGTGCTGTGGAGTTAGGAGAGACAGGTGATGCCAGAATCTTTGATATGGTGAAAAAATGTGAAATTGTTCACTACAGATGATCTGGTAAGCAAGGTAAGCCTGTGCTTACCTGGCCTATTGGATAATCTGTGCCTGGAGAGGACACCCACTCCTTGGCACCATTGCTTGTGCACTGCATGTCCACATGGCAGGCGGATTGATACAGGAAGCAAAGCCCCCGCCAGTCCACGCACGTGGAACATGTGGGCCAGGGGAAGGGCAAGGGCCATGGTCGGCCTGGGGAGGGCAGCTGGGGAGACACAGATTAGAAAAAAGGCCTTTGTCAGGCCAGGCCTCTAGCTGGAAGCCCCTGGCCTGGTAACATACCCTCCTCCTGCCACGTGGGGTGGTGCTCAGTGCAGTGGGGTGCTGTAGGAGCAGATGGCATGGAGCTCACTGTCAGAAGTCAGGGTACACAAGGTGGAGTGAGCGGGGCTAATGGAACGAGTCAGTGTTTTCAAGGGTATCTGTCTGACGGCCTGCCCCACCCCTGCCCTCTGTTGTCCCAGGTCATAAGATGCTGGGGACTGGCAGGCAGAGAGGGGTTCTGATGCCCTATGAGATGAACCCCCGTCTCAGCCCAGAGTGATCGCTCTGGTTCACAGTCTTAGCTGGTGGCAGACTGTGGTGTGTTTGTGATGGGGTGAGGGGCCAACGGTGGGAAGGCCTGTGGTCCCATTGCCTTCTGAATGCCAGCACTCCACTCATCCAGTTGCCAGAGACCACCAGTCCCCACCCAGGGTGCCTTTAAAAAAAAAAAAAAAAACCCTGTTGCTGTCGAGTCGATTTCAACTCATAGTGACACTACAGGACGGAGTAGAGTGGCCTCACAGGGTTTCCAGGGAGAGGCTGATAGATTCGAACTGCTGACCTTTTGGTTAGCAGCTGAGCTCTTTACCACTCTGCCATCAGGGCTCCACTTTATCTGAATAATGCAAGTGGGGACTTGGAGAAACCACCAAAACCCAAAGCCCTGCTGGGAGTCCCCCAAGGTTTAAGCTCAAGTTGTCAACATCTTGGGACACAGATGGCGGGACCTGAGCAGACACTGCAGTCAGGACAAGCAATGTGTCATGTGGTCTAGAGGGGCGTCTGCAACTTAGAGATGAGGTAGAGAGCCTTTTCCAGGCCTCCCAGCCCCCCGCCCAGTTCCCTCAGCATCCCCCAGTTCCCCCAGGCCCCCCAGGCCCGCAGACCCCTCAGACCCCTGGCCCACCAGGCCCTCTAGCCCCCCCAACCCCCGTTGTGAGTCTGGGGGCCGGCGCCACGCTGGCATGAGGGGCTGCTTTTCTCCACACAGGTGCTCCCGTCCCAGACACATTTCAGGAAAATTCCGTGCTGTGGCTCTCAGCTGTGTGGTGCCGGCACCGCCCTTGCCGTAATAGGAAACAGATGTGGGTCCTTGGGCTCCAGACCTTTGTTAGACTTTCTCCTGAAATGCTGATGCCCATTTATTTATTCAGGGCGGCCACCTTCCCGCCTGTGTGCCTGTCCTCCGTGCACAGGCGGCCCACGGCTCTGGTCTCGAGCTCCCCTGTGCACCGCCCAGCTGCCAAGCCCCCCAGTGCACAGCCTGTGAAGAGGTGGAAACATGGTTAGGAGGAATCTGGTGACTGTTCTTTATCCACAGTCCACTCCTGCAAGCGGCACTCTGCCTCCATCAGGAATCGAAGCCCCTCCTTGCAGCCTAGACGTTAACTGTCTAGATGTCTCTCCTGAGAAGGGCGCACAAGGCCCACAATCCAACAAGCAGGAAAAAAACCAAACCCGTTGCTGGCGACTTGATTCCGACTCATGGTGACCCCACATGTTACAGAGTAGAACTGCTCCGTAGGGTTTTCTTGGCTATACTCTTAATGGAAGTAGATCCCCAGGCTTCTCTTCCATGGCACCGCCGGATGGATTTGAACTGCCAACCTTTAGGTTAGTAGTTGGGCGTAAACTATTTGCACCACCCTAGAACCAGCAAGGGCCAAAATGAAGGCCGTGCTGGGCCAGATAGAGCAGGCACCCATGGTGGGTCTTTACCACCACCATTCCCCCCCGAGCTCCCTGCAGAAATCGAGGGCCAGAGGCCAGTCAGCGCTGGGTGCTGCCTGGATAGTCTGGCAGGCATGGAGTCCTCACGACCCCTTAGTTTTCTGTTTATCCCGCACGTACCCCACGGCAGCGTCTTCTCTTGGCTCTCTGTCCGTCAGCTTCCTGGCGGGCAATGGGAAGGAGAATGGTCTAGAAACGGCTTGGGGCTCTACATAGCTCCCCAGGAGCTCATGATCATCTGCTGCTGTTTCTACACAGTTCATGCCTTCAGGAGTGCAAACACCTACCGAAAAGTGCTCTTCATTTTCATGATTAAAAGCTGGTCGTCCAGCCTACTGTCATTTATCTTCTCAGCTGAGTTTCTGCGGACTTTTAAAAGCAATCGCATTGTGTCAAGTAGTTTACTGAATGTGCAGACATTTATCAAACAGCCCGTCAGTAGCAGGAGAAATGCGGTAGTGCGTCCAAGTTAACATTTTCGCTTTGATTGCTACAAATCCATGAGCCCTTGGGTCCAAAGCTTCTACTGCAGTTTGCAAATGGATTTTTATAGCACATTAGTGCTGGAGGAGATTCCAAAGAAAATAGTTCTCCTCAATATTAGAACCAGCTGTAACTTTCTTGAGCCGGTGACTCATTCTTTTTTTTTTTAATTGGGTGGGAGAACCAGGCAAAAGACACACAGAGACTTAGTCAAGACGCTGTTTGTTTTGCAAAGGGTATCCTAGCCACAGCCAGCCTGATGGCACCAGTGTGCAACTCATGTTTATTTAACTTTTTTCTTTTAACAGTTCCAATTATAAAAACAGAGCCCACCGATGATTACGAGCCTGTGCAAACCTGTGGACCAGTGACCCAAGGACTCAGTCCTCTCTCGAAGCCCTACTACAGCCAGCAGCTCCTGCTGCCTCCCGATCCTGGTGCGTGCCTTGTGGCTGGCTTCACTTCCTGCCAGCAGAGAAGCACTGTGATGTCACCTCCGCCCAGCACAAGCCCGAAGCTCCACGACCTTTCTTCTGCCACTTATACAAAGTGCAGCCCCAGCACAGGCCACAGCCACCTCGGACTCCAGCAGCCCGCTGGAGGGGCCCCCACCACTCAGGAAGTGCCAAGACCCAGAGCTGTCCCCTCAAGTGCTCCCCATCCGTCATCTCACGCCACGCTGCAGCCGCAGGTGAGTCAACATCTGAGCAGTAGCTGTTCCCTTGGTTACCAACAAACACTCTATCCCAACAGTCCCTCTTCTCCAGTTCCGTCCGTTACCCAAGAGCCAACCTATTTGCAGCCCTGCAGCCCAACGAGCCCATCTGCAGTGGGCCACCAGCAGCACCAACCGCCGAAGGTTCACAGACATGAGTCTCCAACCACCCAGCCTCTGTCACTGCCAGAGTTGCATGAGGACAGTAGTCATAATTTGGCCCCTATTCCTGTAACCGTCAAGCGAGAACCAGAAGAATTGGACCAGTTGTACCTGGACGATGGTAAGTGCCCACAGTTGTACAGGTGTGCGTTCAACCCTGTGGCCGTGAGCTCGAGAAGGAGGGTGTGCAAATTAACTGCCTTGCGGGGCTGCACGCCAGCCTTGCTGACATTTCCCATGTGGGAAGTGGTTTTTTCAGTGTTGTTTGCAATCACTCCATGGTGTGTAGGTTTAGTCTTCTCCCAGCAGCTGCATGGCACGTGTCCTAGTGCCGCCATCTTGGCCACGTGGCTGGTGCCTGGTGCCGTAGACCTGCAGGGACACAAAGCCCCAGGGAGAAAAGGCTACCACGTAGGGTACCCACGTGTGCTGACTAAAACAAAGAACTGCTGAGCTTACGCCGAGAAAGTTCTGAGGAGAAGAGGCCCATCCTTACGCATGGCTTCAAGTCAAGCTGTTTTGTTTTATGGCATCTAAAGAGCTTCTTTAGCTTAGCAAACTTTTTTTTTTTTTTTGAATAATGGCTTAGCTAAAAGTAATTAACATTTATTCTGTACAGCTATCCACAGATGTTTAGATGTGGTAACCATCTTGTCAGGGGCTCAGTGAGAGGGCATGGGAATATGGCGGTATGCTGAACAGTGATTTAAGTAGAGCTGTGCTCAGCCCTCTTACCGTGCACACAGGATCTCCCTCAGTGTAGGAATGCAACTGAACGTGAAGTTGTAGAGATTATTTGAAGAAGAGGCACCTTCGAGACATCTGTAGCCGGGCTAATCAGTGTAAAAAAAATATATGAATACTAATTTGTTTCGCTAATGAGTGATAACAACAGGCACCTCATTGTTCTTCATAGTTATTTATTTTTAAAGAGATGCTCCTTCTCTTCCGGGCGTGGTGATATAACAGAGGCAGTGCTGACTTGCAGCAGCAGCGGTTGGGCCTTTGATCCTGGATCATTGTAATTGCAGGCTAATCAGTCACGGGACCCACGGCCTGCGGCGGTCTGCTCATTAGGCGTCCCAGTCAATTAGCGCTTTCTGAGGACTCACACAGAGTGTTTGTGTGGGTGTCAGGGGGCCTTTTGTACAGGCAGATTTCGTTTTCCTGTGTGCACATTGTTTCACAAATGCAGGTACCTATCAACACATCTGAAACAGATACCCACCTCTTGCCAAAGTCGCCCTGACTCAAGCGTGGGGCACAGAACACGCTGCTCCGGAAGGCTCTGGAAGGTGCCAGAACACAGCCACTCAGACTCTCCACCTGTAAGCTGACTGAGGCCTCCTTAGCCATCCATTAGCTGTTCCTCCGTAAAAGTCCCCAAGCCAAATGCTGGCTTTTCCCCGCTACAGCTGTAGTCCATGCCATGTTTTCATGCTGCTGTTGACCCTGCAGCGCCTTGTTCACAAGGGGTCCTTTGGCCAGAGTGTATACTCCTTGAGCTGTTTTCCCAGAAGTGGAGAGGGAGTCACCCTGATTCACCCGCACTCTCTGCACCTTGTTTCACCCGATATGCTCCAAGGTATGGGGTTCAGACCTGCTGGAACAGCGTGAACCTGACCAGCCTTCATGATGATTAGTCAGGAGCCGGCTCTGAGCGCCAGCTAACCACCCACTGGTTACAGTGGGCTGGACCTCTCCCCACCCCCTGTTTTTCGGGTCCCCACCTGCTCAGGTAAAACAGAACCCTCCCAAACACCTTCCCGCTGTTCCTAACTCCAGGCACGTTTGGAGGAGGGGGCCTTCAAGTATTTTTGCTCCAAGTTATTCAACCCTTAAGTCCTGACCTCTCCTGTAGCATGACCTCGTCTGGCTCCTAAAAATAGTCTCATCAGTGTTTATGTCATATCGGGTTCTCCTTCTGCCCTACCTTAGAGCGAGGCCAGTGTCGGCAACTTCCGTGGTGCCGCAGAGCTCAGGCACCGTCCCGCAGGGTATCCTTCCCTTCCTGCAGAGCCTGCTCTTCAGGCCCAGTGCTACCTTCAGCCATCCTCTGGAAGCTTACCATAACCCTGGCATGGTGCCGGTAAAATGTCTGGTTCACTGTGGGCACTCCATTCTAGATTTATTTTTCACTGAACTGTCCCACTCGGCTCACCGTTGGCCCTCAGACAAGGCCAGGAGCCCAGTGGAGGCCCCACCGCCCAGGGCTGCCTCCTTAGCGCACAGAGCAGCTGAGGCCTGCCTTCCTCTTGACGTCTGTCGGAGGTAGCGCCGGATGCTCGCACCTGGGCTCCTACGTGCTGCTCTGTCTCAGAAAGTTCTGGTGGCTCCTGGGAGGCTGGTGGTCATGGGCAGCCTCCATTGCTCAATCGAGGACGGGCTGGTGTCCTAGAGGCAGCTGAGGGCACAGGGGGACCATTCCTGTCAGTGTGCGTCCTGACAGTCCTGACAGTCCTGACCTTGGAGGAGGGCACGTCCTTGACATGTCCCCAGGGCCCATGCTGCCCTGCTATCAGTACGGCATCTTTAGCTACCCTTGGAGGGGTGTATTAGTGACCAAGGGTGCCTTTGCAGCCAGTGAGTTCAATCAGTAGCACAGATGTGGTCCTGGTTCTTCCGCACTCAAGGCCCTTGCCAGGGACTTGGGGGATGAGGCAAACGCTTGATTCCCACCCCCCACCCCATTTCTTTGCGGCGAGGGGAGGCAGGGAGGGCAGGGCCACCAGGCCGAGTGGGCCCTACCCCCTGTGGACTGTAGTTTTTACTTTACAGCCATACTCACTTCTGGAGTTGAAGCTAAGCCCCTTCGTCCACAGGGGTTGGCCACACCGTACAGGGCCTCATGCCACCGCACATCCAACCCTCACAGTCCCTGGGAGCCCAGGTCTCTGTGCCTGGTGTGGGTGGGGGTCCTCAACCCCTCCTACCCTCCTGCGTGCCATGCACCCCTACTATGCTTGCAGCACCCTCTGCACTTGTAGCCACAGCCCTGCAGGACACCCTAATTCTCACCTCTGACCCCCACAGCTTGGCCCTTTACCGCCCAAAGCTGCATCCCCATTCCCAGCGTCGTCTAACCGCAGCTCTACCCTGTACCCAAGGGTTTGCATCAGTTTATTGAGCCATAAGCCCCTCAAACCTGAGAAGCCCCACGGGGAGCGTTTGCCCCCTCCCACATCACCTCACAGTCACTGGCCCCTCCCTTCTCATCCCACATTGAGTCAGGTCCCAGGGCCTGGCGTCAGGTCCTCCACAGATCTCCAGAGCACCCTCTGCCCCCCACCACCCTCATTTCAGGCTTGGCCTCTCTGCCTGTGCTCCTGTTCCTAATCTCCCCCAGCGTCCCTCGTTGTCTCTGTGAGTCTCTCAATGCACTGAGCTAGTGTCGCTCCTGGGTTCTCAGTTGTCTGTGGAGTAAAGGTTCTTCGGTCAGGTCCAGCCATCTTTCCAGCCTCATCTACACTCTCTCCTGTGCCCCCCAGTTTCCCCAGCCCCCCAAATGATAGAAGCTGTCTGTCATCGATGTTTTATGTGCAAGGCAAACCCCTCTGCCAGCGAGGAGTTATCTGAACTAGATCTCCAGCTTGGAGACTCTTCAGAACAATGAGTTCTAACCTCTCGGAGTTGCAACACCTGATTTCTCAACATACTTTTATTCCGCCTTCCCTCACCCCCACCCCACCCCAAGTGCTCCGTGGCCTGCTTATTTTTAATTAAGGTGAACTTAAAGTCATTCTGTTTCAATGCACTTTTTAAATTTCTCCATGTCTCTGAGAACCAGAGGCCCTCCGGAGTCTCCTGTCACCAGGCTCTGTGTCGTCTGTCTGGAATGCACCGAGAGTCTAAGGGTGGGAGGGAGGCGGAGACCCCAGGCCAGGAACAGCCAGCCTGTACCTGTGTCTTTGTCTGCGTGTCTCCTTGTGAATTTGCAGCCATTCAAGGAGAGGCGCACAGAAGAGCAAATGGAGGAAAAACTAAATCAGACCGTGAAATGCAGCTAGTCCCTAGTGGACCTGGACATTGGAAAGCAAACGCTCATCTCTGTCAGTTACACGTCACAGTCAGGGCAAGAGACATGCATGTGACCAAGACCCGTCTATAAAATGAGGGGCTCGGGCTGGAGGACATAGGTTCCCCCACTGCACCCGGCAGGCGTGGGTGTCCTTCCCCACAAGCATGTCAGCTGGTTCCTGGGTCCTCCGGCCGGGGCTGTGCCAGGTTCCCAAGGGCTCCCTGCTCTGGGAGCTGCCCTGTTGCCACAGCAGGATCGCTCCTGGTCTTCCAGGGTCTGGCAGGCCTGGCCCAGATGTCACGACACACTCACGGAGCAGCACACTCAGCTGTACTTGTACTCATCTGTCTTGGATGTGACCGTCACCGGGGAGCCTGGGAGCTCTTTCACCTTGGCCAAGCTGTCCCACACGGCAGTGTCTTTCGGGTGGCTTCTATGTGCCTGATAGAAGTCGAAGCTGGCAGTCAATGCAGGTTCTCCATTCTGTTCGTTATTTAAGGGAGTCTTGCTGACTGGCCTTTGCAGGACACCCATTGGAAGTCAGCTCAGTGGTCTTCTCTGAGCCGGGCTCCGAGGCAGGTGGTGACGTCAATGTTGGTAGGTCTGTGAAGAGTCAGAGGATTTACTTCTGTGTCACTGGCTTTGTATTTATGTTATTGGGTCTGGGGTTTGTTTTCTAGGAATGTAGAATGAACAAGGCAATGATAGGATGTTTCTAGGGCCTGGAGAGCCTGGGGTACTTTGTGTGCATACTTGCCATCATCTGTGTTATTTAGAGACCCACAGTGGCAGTGTAAGCTCCCAAGGTGTGGGATCCACACTCACTCTGCCCTAGAGCTGGAGGGGTCACTGCAGTTCCTGAAGTTTCTATTCATCTCAAAGAATGATGGCAGCACCGGCACAAGGGGTGACACAGACGAATCCCAACTTTTTTTTTTGAGTATTTCTTTGTTTCTCAGTCATTTCTACTCTTAGGTTTTGTTCAAAAGTACTTGACCCGTAAATAAATTTCAATTTATACTTTGGTCCAACTGTCTCCATCACATTTAATCCCTTAGTCATGGCAGAGCTACAGGGATACATTTTTTAAAGAATAGCTTTAT